GATGTTAATGAAGTCCTTTGAAGCAGAGGATTAGGCGTTCACTGTTGCCAGCCAGAAGAAACACAAGGCACTGGGCCTGGGATGTAATTTTGGCTTTATAAATACAGCCCAAGTAGGTTAGAATTTGCATGTCTCTTTAAAGTATCAAACATGTCTGTGTTTATTTTTTTAATTATTTTTTGAGAGCTATGTCTGCTCTGGAGCACTTAGGTCATTGCCAAAATATGAGTACTGGTACACAGGGAGAGAATACAGTGTGGAGAAAGATGTATTGGTAGAACTGCCTCTGTGGGATTGCAATCTGCATCTATATACAGTTTTCCATTTTATTTTTGAAACTATATCAGTCGAGGATGACATTAATTATTGACATTGCTTTTGGTAAAAATCCATGATGTAGTAGGAAGGTCTGAGTCCTCTGCTGCGCCTCTGGATTGCCGTGTCAAAGAACCAGTTTTGTTGAGTTTTGTGGCATAGACGCCCAAATAGCAGGAATTAGTTTCAAATCTTTGTTTGTTGTTGTTACTTGATGATATATGTATTATATTATATGTGAATTTGGTGAATTTCTGAACCTACTTGCTACTTCATGGCAGCCTTGCTGGTAGGCTTTTCTTCTTCTCTGGTTATTAAACTCACCTAATCATAGTAAAATAATATTGGTAAGAAATGCATAGCCCTGGGATTTTTAGAGGTTTTTAAAAAATCATATCTCAATAGTGTCTTATAATTCATCTCCATTTATGTTTATGATGGAACAGACAATTCCCTTTGCACTTGGCAATCAAACCTTATTGTGTGACCCGTACAGTTGCTTATATCCAGAATATTATTAGAAAAGTTTAATATATTTTGCAGCTCTCTGTGTCACTTAGCAGCAAGAAACAAAAGGACTCATTTATTTCTTTTTACAAGCTGTTGTCTGTAGTAAAAATACTTTGCAATTAGTTTGAGGACAGCTTTTGAAATCAAAAGTTCAGTGACCCACAGAGATGTTCTTTCTGTACAAAGTTGTATATAAAAATTCTGCAAAGTTTTCTTTGATATGAGAGAGTATTGCTCATTTTTACTGTACTAATAGCAGGGATACACATTGCAATCAGCTTTATGTTTTAATCAAAAGTACAGAGATGTTGAATTTTACTGTGGAATGCTGTGAATGGGAAGCATTTCAGTTGTGTCTGTAAGCATAATATTCTGAATATGCAAATTGACCTAAAATTACCCTTCTTCGAAATGAAGTAAGATGGACTTAAAATCAAGTAATGTGAACTCAGAGGAATAGCACCAAGCTGGTTTTAGCCTCCAGTCTCGATGTAACGCCCCAGACACTCCAGTCAGTCTTGTAGTTTGTTACCAGAGCTAACTGGGTGGTTCCCAAACCTCAGCCTGACTAATACAAGTTTGTCTTCGTCTCTGTGTCTGTGTGAACAAGAAAGAAAGTCTGTTGTCCTCTTATTAGCTGTTTGCAAGCCTAATGGAGTTTCAGTGGTATTTTTGTAGCGTTTGAAGAGCAATCTTTGCAGGGGTGTTATTGGTGCTCAGGCAGAGTAAGTGCTTGTTTAGTGAGCCAAAAGTGGGTGGCCAGCATCGCCCTATAAACAAAAACTTGGCAGTGGGAAACTAATTCAGGTTATTCATACTCATTCTCTTTTCCAGATGCAGACTGAGCACTGCTGGACTCTGCGTCCATTCGTTGTTCTAAATAGAAACTTGTTACGGTTGTTTAGAAGTTTGTGCATACTTGTCTTGATTAAATATGTAAGATATAATTTACAGATAAAATATGTAAGGTATCTAAAATACATCTTTGTATTGTAAATATGTCTCATGTCTTATTTATGTGCTTTCTATTGAGTGTATTTAGCAGAAAATTAGATATTTGGAAAATTGTATTTCAGTCATTTATAGGGCACTCCTTAGTAACATTGCAAGGATGCAAGTAAATGATTAAAAATATTGGTTTTCTCTTGCCATTCCCAGTGCAGTGGGACCCTCGCATCATTGCAGCAAGTCATAAAAAAGTCTCTGCATGTTTTTTCCCCACAAAAGTGCCTGTTGAGATGGCATTTTGCCTCGATTCAGTGATGTGGTCATGGGACACATTTGCTAAGAAAGTGAGTTCGGGTGGGTTGCACCTGTAGCATTGGATGCAATGACCTGGCATTTGGAAATGGGGATATTCCACCAGTTTTCAGTCGCCAAGTGTGTGTGAACCTGTTTGAACCACACAGGCAGAAAGAACAGAACACTCCGAGGAGTTTAGGGCTGCGGAAAAAGAGACTAATTTTATCAGCAGTAAAACCGGAAGCAGTTGGAGAGGAGTTGCAGATCGATATACGTGTTATTCGTGAAGGCACAAACTTACAGGTTCCCCAAGTCAAACTTGTCTTCTGGTGGATGCTGACAGCCCCTTTTTGGGGTCGATAAACAAGCTGCCTTCTGGCAGAACTGAAAATAAGCCTGTGGCTTCTGGGAGCGCCAGGGCTGCGCCGTCTTGCTCTTTCACAAGCACGTCTGAGTCCAAAACACAGCTTGTGTGATTTCTTTGTGGAGACCGCAGCTGGGTCATTGCCTCTCGCAGTAGTTGATGATGTTTCATGGCTCTGTAATTATTCTTGGTTTCAGTATGTGTTATGGATGCAGGATCTAAACAAAATAATTAATTTGATTATCCTAAGTCACCTTGTTACGCATGGATGTTTACCCATTTCTTGTTGTTACTTGACACAGTAATAAGGCATAAGATGGGAAGTTCCTTCATTTCTATAAAGCAATTAATTAGAAATCTGCTTTCCCCAGGTGTACCTGAATTAACTCTGTCATGTCATCTGAGGGTTTTATTACAATAATTTTGGAAATGTCTATTTCCAAAAAGTAGTATTATCATGTATTATACAGTTTGGAAGGCCTTCTTTTTTAGGATTTGATAACTTCGTGATCATAGAACCATAGAATGGTTTGGGTTGGAAGGGGCCTCAAAGATCATCCAGTTCCAAGCCCCCTGCCATGGGCAGGGACACCCTCCACTACACCAGGTTGCCCAAAGCCTCATCCAAAATTAAACATGATATATTTTGGAAATAGGAAGGTGTGGTAGGTTAGAGTTAACATCATTTTTCTTGGTGCTGTTAGACTTTAAAAATGCTAGTAGAAATGTAAGCGTATCACAGAGCATAAGCACTGAGTGTAGAGTAATAGTAAAGATTGTTGGTAACTTCAGTATCAAAACAACAATCTGTACTACGAAGAACTGTGTGCAAACTAGATTTTTACAAGAATGGTGGATTTTTAAAGTAAAGATTGTTACAGTGTTAACTTAGCCCTACCTCCTTCAAGGTCCTAGCAAGTGGATACTCAAGAGTATTTGAGAGTAACTCTTGAAAGCCATGGATGGGATCTATTTTGGTGTTTGGTCTAGTTTAAAATCAGCAAGAATTAGAATTTTTGAGAATATGGCCCTTGAGAAAGTCCTTCTTTCTTCTTATACATGTGTTTTTAGTCATTCCCTTTGACTTCACTGGCCTTTTAGAACTGCACAGCCCTCCTAGTTCCTGTTGTGTCAATTTTGAGTGTTGGAAGTCTTGTGGTAATGAGCACTTCCATGTCTAATGGTAAGATGTTCAGAATCAAGCACCCGGATTATGACACCACAATTTAAAATGTATATTGAAAAATGAAGTTTAAAATCCACAAAATTCACACAGTGTCACAGTGGATATGGAGCTCCTGGGGCTGGTGCTCTGGGTCACTTCACCACCTGCATTTTGCAGTGCTTCTGGCTCCAGATGAATGTGTGACATGGAGCTCTGGCTACTGGTACCAGATCCTGTTTTGTCTACTCTTGTCTAAAACTGCCTTTTCTCTTTTCATTTTTATCTGAACAGTTTTTTTTTGTCTTTGTTGAAGTTTCGAGGATTTCAATGCATGTCATGCAAATGAATACAATTTCACATGTTCTGTACATTTGAATATTCATAATTATTAAAGAGAATTTGCTGGGGTGTAATCTGTCAGGAAAATAACACAGATAATTAAGGTGAATGTATAGTTAGAAAATGGATTTCTTTTTGTTTGTATTATGGCAATCGTTTACTTTGATGCTTGATATATTTGCTATGTGTTGTAACAGGCTTTGAATTCATCATCAAAGTCAGCTTTTAAGGAACTGAGGACTATCATCTTCCATTTTAACGGCAGAATATATTTTTTCAGTCTTGCTTCATTTGCTATAGATATATCAAAGAAGGTATATGAATATAGAATCATAGAATCACAGAATGGTTTGGGTTGGAAGGGACCTCAAAGATCATCCAGTTCCAACCCCCCTGCCATGGGCAGGGACACCCTCCACTACACCAGGTTACTCAAAGCCTCATCCAACCTGGCCTTGAACAATTCCAGGGATGGGGCATCTACAATATTATTTATTATATTCAGATGTATAAATGTGTGTACATACATACATACGTATGTTTGTGTTTTTATAAAAATTTTGAAACACTGTCCTGCACGTTTTCCCCCATGAAAAGGATCAGCCCCCAAATGCATAAAATGAAGTCACTTGATACAGGTCCTTGCATATTCATTGTGATGAGCATAGGGTGGAAACCAGCATGGAAATGAATAGACTGGAATAAGGTTTTATAGACAGGAGCTTATGATGTTGCTGAACGTGACTGCGTTGTAGAGGTTGTAACTTCTTCTACAAAATATTATCTAAAATCTATTCTCCTTGATGACTTTCGTTATTGTTTCTTCCTAAGCAGTATTATCTAAAGACAGCATGTTGTTTGTTGGTCTTATCAGGGCGGGTGTTGGTGCCCAGAGAGTGTACGTTGACTGCTTACTCATTGCATAGAGAGCAGTGCAACTGGTAGCAACCCAGTTTCTTTGAAGCTGAGCTATTACAGTCACTGTTCATAGAAAGTCCTCTAGATCTAATTTAGATAAATTGCTTCATTGTATTTCAGAGTTCTTTTGCAGTTACTTGGTAAACAATGAAGGTTCTGTTGCTGAAGGATCCCAAAGACAAGGAATCAGGACCAGATCCGTATGTTACCGTGAGTAAACTTTAAAAGTAAACAATTGTGTTGCTTCATTATTAAATAATAGTATCATGCGTTCAGCAAGTTAGATGAATTTAATGGTTTCAAGTGAAAAAGGTGCTTAATCAACATTAGGAGTGTATGTCTGAAATTCTGCTATTTTCTGAGAAAAATAATCAACGTTCGGAGTGCATGTCTGAAATGCTGATATTTTCTTAGAAAAGTAATCAACGTTAGGAGTGCATGTCTGAAATTCAGATATTTTCTAAGAAAAATAACATTAGGAGTGCATGTCTAAAATTCTGCTATTTTCTAAGAAAAATAACATTAGGAGTGCATATCTGAAATTCTGCTATTTTCTAAGAAAAATAATCAAAATTAGGAGTGCATATCTGAAATTATGCAAAGAAAAAAGTATGCTGGAAAATTTGCTGTTACTGAAAAAATTATTTTAGCTATGGGGCATTCATTCTGAATTCACCATTAAAGTTCTCAACAAAGTGCTGATATTAGAACAATTTCATTTTAATTAATTAATATTGATTATGTTCCTATGGATAGAATTAAGATTACAAAAAATGCTAGTAGTCTTACTGGGAATCTAACGTAAAAAAAGAGGTTGCATGTTGCTGTGGTCCTTTCTGCTGTTTCCTTTAGTCGTGTGAGTAGGTCTTACTCATAAGAGCAGTTTATTGACTTTAAAGAATTACAGAGATGTACAAGAATATTTGCCCGACCAGGTGATTGTTTCTGCTGACTTAAGTCAATAATTTCCAACCTTTTTTTTGGTAGGAATTCGGATTATACGGATTTGAAGCAACTCTAATTCCAGTTTTGTCATTTGAATTCGTATCTCTTGAAAGCTTATTTGAAAAGGTAAGTGTTAAATTCTTTCAGTTGTCTTATTTTCAACGGAATTTAGGCCATGGTTGTCAGGATGCCGTGCCTTATCTTAATTTAATAATGCCCTTTGTGGTACCTCTTTTTGTGTTTCCACAAACACAGCTGTATACAACACAATACAGTATTGTATACAACATAAATATGTTTCCCATATTTCTGAAGAGTTGTTGGTCAGACAGAATTCACATTTAGGCTGATGGACCATAGATAGTGGCAGGTATTGAGGCATTTTGTCACAGCATAAAATAAGAAGACTGTAGTGACAACTGAAGGTTACCTGAGGCTCACCCTTACGCTGCACTGAAATTGGGTGCTGCGTCTTCTAGTTACATGCAATATAACTGCATAGTTGGAGTTCCCTTTCTGCCCTTTCATCAATGTATTTATTTAATTTTAAAATGTTGGAAAGATTTTCCGAGGGAGGTTCCCTGACAATCCTTCCAGCTCGTTTCAGTGACAGGAATCCTTGTCCATTCCTACGGATTCTCAGAATTAATATCTTTCAGTGACAGGAATCCTTGTCCATTCCTACTGATTTTCAGAATTAATATAATCTGTGCAAATTTTGTTATAAACACTCTATTGATAGTAATAAAATAATTGCCTGTTTCAAACACTCTATTGATAGTAATAAAATAATTGCCCATTTCTGTTTCAGACATTTATTGAAGCTAATCTATCGACTTAATTTTTTAATTTATTTACTCATTTTTTTTACTTGACTTCTTAAATTTACTGTTTATAAGTAGCTCTCTCATCCAGAACGTTATGGGGGCCTAGTTTTTACCAGTCCAAGAGCATTAGAAGCCATCAAGATATGTTTAAAAGAGAATAGTAAAAATGAAGGTAAGTGCATATTTATATTCCTTGATCTTTCTGTTTCAGTATTTTGTGAAGTTTGTGTATTTCACTCACCAGGAGTGTTTGGAACGTGCCTTTTTAAAAACACTTTATCTCATAGTTCTTTTGGCCTCAGAAAAGCCTTATGTTAAATCACTTTTAAGGGATTTTTGTGAAGTTTGTGTATTTCACTCACCAGGAGGTGTTTGGAATGTGCCTTTTTAAAAACACTTTGTCTCATAGTTCTTTTGGCCTCAGAAAGGCCTTATGTTAAATCACTTTTAAGGGATTGAGGGTTGGGTTTTCCACACTTAGGCTGTTGTTGGAAATGAAAGAAAAGAGCTTAATTACTCATTAGTGTGAGCTTTTTCAGTTGTGATTGTCTTTGCTGATGCTAAAAAGAGTTGTCAACAGGAATATTTTGCTGCTGTGCCTACTTTTGCTTGCTAACAGCTTAAATGGAGGAGCTGTTGTAGAAACTGGCCACTGCAGAAAGAGAAGTTTGTCTTCCATATGAAACTTCTCAAGTGAATTAAGCATTAGCATGATAAAAATCAGTGAAGAAATGGTGATACAGAAAAGCCAACAGTTTAGCTGTGAGTAAGAATCCTGTGGAGTGCTAAATAGAAATTACCATACCAAGGATCTGTCAGATCCTTGTAAACTTTGCTAAATTCTTACACTAAGTGATAACTTCTGGCTTTGAATCTCTGTACTTATTTATGTACGTTGAAATTGTTTTATTGCTTTAGCTGCTCCATCTTTGGGCTGTAGTTGTACTGATTAGAGGTTACGCTCTTGAGTAAGCAGTAAATAAAATGAGACTGTTGGCTTATTTTAGCATTTTCAACAGCAGAGGGCTATATTTAGGATTTTTGCCCAAATGTAATCTCTTTAGAGTTCATTCCTAATCTCATTTAGGACTTTTGGGAGCTGCTGAAATACATATTTTAATTAATAATATGAATCTTTAGTTTCTGTTTAGATTCCTTTCAAAGCTAATTGATCCTTACCTTTTTCCTTCTTTAGAATAGTTTCCTCTGACCTTTTTTTACTGATTTTGTAGTTTCTCTTTCTTTTTTTTTTTTAAGAATACTAGAAAGGAACTCAGTGTCCTATGCTGTACTGTTCTAAGACAAGATAGAAAGAGACTTGGCGTGTCTGTTTTTGACTCATTGGGATTTCAGGCTTAGAGATCAGGTAGCTGGATTCAAGAAGTGTAATCTGTAACATACTTACTGCCTGAAGGAGGAAAACTATTTCATAGTAATTTTATTTTGGTCTCTGATATATTTTATTTCTGAGCTGGTAACTTATTTTTGGTGTATGCTAAAAATATAATCAGTTTCTGTATTTTTCTTGTATAAGAAAGAGTTGCTTTCTACAGTACTGTAGGGCATGGCTGTAGATTTTTACCCTTTTATTTGTTGTCATAGATTATATTTGGTTTTTGCCTGAGCTTTTAATTTTAAACCACCAGTTTTTACATGTAAATCTCCCTTTGAAATATGTGCTGTTTTTACCTACGAGTTTTTATGCTTTTTTCCAAGTTCTTAATGCCAAAATACAAATGAACATTGCAAGTTGCATGTGATCTGGCATAGGGCAAGTGTGCATTAAAAATTGTACGTAACAAAAGCAGCCAAGAACTGTTTACTCAGATTGGGCTTTTAAAAACATGTTGTAGACTGCTATTTACACAATGAGAAAAATACATTAAAAATTCATTTTGCGCATCCAGATTTGCTGAAATATGTAGTAGACTATTAGCTATTATTATTTTGCTGTATTTGTAGATTGAACAGAAGTCCAAATACTCATTTAGCATTCACATTTTGTTGCCACACGCTTCAATTTAATTTAATATTTTTCAGCCTGGTCGAAATCTCTTCAACAAAGATGGAATACCAAACCAGCATACGTGGTAGGAAAAGCAACAGCTTCTCTAGGTAAGCTGGGGTTTAAAAAAAGAAATCTTAGATAAATCTGTCTTTTAAGTACAAGTTTTGGAATATTAGCTGCTGTTCAGGGGTGCTTAGAAAAAAATACAGGTAAGTTTTATAGATGGATACTTTTGAAAAAATAGCATAATATATATATAACAGAATAATGGTATATACATTAGAACTATACGTGCTTACTTCATCTAAAGATCTAGTTTCTGGTTTTTCATTACTTTAATTGTGATGTGATAGTAACTACTTTAAAAACTTGGTCAAAAAAGAAAAAAAAACCCTTTGTTCTTAATTTGCATGTGGTTTCTTTCATCCACTTTGGAAATGGAAATGGGTGAAGGGGGTTACAGCATGGTTGTCTGAGATGGTGCAAAGTGTGACGCACTGACCCTTCGTTCCCTCCGTGTTCCTGGGAGGTGTTTGCCAAGCAGGAGTCGGCGGGATACATCCCGTTGACTTCAGTGAGTCAGTGCTTTATTTGTCTTGACACAGGTTTTGATCTGATGCAATAACATATTTTGTCTGCGTAGCAAAAATGCCACGTGGATTTTAGTTGGTGAAAACCTTTATTGTTGTAAAATTGCATTGTAGCTTTAGCTTCCACTGAATCACACAGGAAATATTACAAAAAGACTAGCATTTGGGAATTTTAAATGTCACCATGTTTTTATGCTTCTAGTCCAAAAATAATTTGGATAAGTACTGGCTACCTCTATTAAAAAGTGTATTTTTTAAGGCAGACTGGTAACAACACCTGATCACCAATCAGTGACACCTAACAAGCATCTTGAATCAATCAAGTCCCAAATTAGCAAACTTCTCAGGGATTCATCTTGTCCCTACTTACTGGCTTAAAAAAAAGGAATGTTGTGCTCTTGGATTTTCCAAGACCATTTCAGCCTACGTTCATTGGCAAGCTAGCTGCCACCAGACCACGCCAGGAATTGCAGCCCATTGAGCATGGTCAGGCAGTGCTTTCTGTTTCACCGCTTCAGCTATGAGAGTTTACAAGCTCTCCAAAACAGCTTAGCTATCCTCAGAATTATTCTTTCATACTTTTTTCCTGTATGTCTTTCTAGAGCCAAAATTGAATTTTTCATAGCATGTTACTAATTCATGTGCTCTAATTTTGCAGCTTTCCGATACTTAAAGAGGGCTACAGGAAAGCTGGAGAGGGACTTTTTACAAGGGCATGTAGTGAGAGGACAAGGGGCAATGGCTTTAAACTGAAAGAGGGCAGATTTAGATGAGATCTAAGGAAGAAATTCTTCGCTCTGAGGGTGGTGAGGCACTGGCACAGGTTGCCCAGAGAAGTTGTAGATGCCCCATCCCTGGAAGTGTTCAAGGCCAGGTTGGATGGGGCTGTGAGCAACCTGGTGTAGTGGAAGGTGTCCCTGCCCATGACAGGGGGGTTGGAACTGGATGGTCTTTGAGGTCCCTTCCAACCCAAACCATTCTGTGATTCTATGATTCTAAGTATTTGTGTGCTTGGACCAAGTTATTTCTTCCTTTCAACCTGCGTTTCTGTGATAGTAAATCTGAATTGTCCTCACGGATTTCAGTGTCTGTCTTTGCTACTTTTGGTTACAGTGGAAGAAATTGGCCTTGCTCCACAAGGAGAAAAGTGTGGAAATGCTGAAAAATTAGCTGAATATATTTGCTCAAGTGAGTATCTAAAATCTTCCACTTAAATGAAGCTAATGTACCTAATGGACCTTTGTTTCAGAATTTCCTATAAATGAAATTGAGTGTACACTGAAGCAGAGGTACATACGCTTGTATCTCTTGTACATAGAACCTGTGAATTCAACTTCTGGGAACGTGGATGATATCTCTAAAAGATGATAAAAATACTTTTAAACACTTGTACATAATACCAATATACCTGAAATCTTAGACTCTGTAATTGATTAATAATACTGTGTCACCCAGTAGACAAAGTGGTTTTTTACTGAAAGGTCAGAGCTGTAATGGCTGGAAATTGCTGCTTAATCGTGAGATCTCAGTGATTGTGACTGTCCGTGTGCTGGTTCTCTGTGAGCTTCGGATGACCTGACTTTTCTTGCTTCAAACTGGTTGATGCTGGGCATTTTCCACCATGCCGTGGTTCAGAGTAGATAAGGGGAATTTCTTTCCTCAGAATGGACACGTGGTTTCAGAGGAATCTGTTTTTCAGTACCAAAGGAGAGTGGTTTTGAAGTTGCAGAAAGAGTCAGTTAAAACGATGGCTTATGTTTTGTTTAACCATTTTGTTACGGTTAAAGCTGTAATGCTGATCTATTTTCTGCTTCTAAACATAATACCAGATTGTTGGGTAATTTTAAAGGTTTAGTTAGTCTACTTCCTCCTTTCTTTTCTACAATAATACGATAAAATTTCCAGTAGTAGTAAGGAATACTTTTAGGTTTAGGAGGTGATTATTTTTTGAGTAGATGGGTCAGTACAAGCTGTGAAAAAAGAGGCTGTGTTTTTGTACAGCCTGTGTTACAGAGCTTGGGTGAAGACTATCATAAGCAGGAGCTACCAGTGCAGTGAGTTTGACCTCAGAGCTTCTGACACACGTGATGGTGTTCCAGGGGATCCGTGTCTGAGGTACACGCTGCCTTCAAATCGTCTGTCTTGAGTGTTGGCTGGGAGGAAGAGTTACCAAAGGAAATCAGCAGAACTAGTCCCCAAGCTCTCTGAAACTCACAGCTAAAATAATCTTTGTCCCAGATGAAGGTCACACCTGAGGTTCAGTATCTCAGCAGCAACCTGTCCTTCTTGGTTCTTTTTGTATGACCTGGGGTAGGTCCCCTCTCTTGAGGCAGCGGGGAGCTCTATGGCAGAGCCTTGTAGTGAGACGAGAGGGTAGAAAGGTACGTCCTTCGCTGATGAGGGTTGACCCTGGCTGGACACCAGGTGCCCACCAAAACCCCTCTACCACTGCCCTCCTCAACTGGACAGGGGGGAAAAAAACATAAGGAAAGGCTCATGAGTGGAGACAAGGACAGGGAGAGATCGTTCAGTTGCCGTCATGGGCAAAACAGACTCAATTTGGGGAAATTAGTTAATTTGTTACCAATCAAATCGGAGTAGGATAATGAGCAATAAAACCAAATCTTAAAAAAACCACTTTCCTCCCACCCCTCCCTTCTTCCCGGGCTCGACTTCACTCCCCATTTCTCTACCTCCTCCTCCCAGCAGCGCAGGGGGACGGGGAATGGGAGTTATGGTCAGTTTGTCACACATTGTCTCTGCTGCTCCATCCTCCTCAGGAGGAGGACTCCTCATGCTCTTGCCCTGCTCCAGCGTGGGGTCCCTCCCACATAAGACAGTTCTCCATGAACTTCTCTGATGTGAGTCCTTCCCCTGGGCTGCAGTTCTCCAGTGTGCATCCTTTCCATGGGGTGCAGTTTTTCAGGAACGGATTGCTCCAGCGTGGGTCTCCCGCAGCATCACAAGTCCTGCCAGCAAACCTGCTCCAGCGTGGGCTCCTCTCTTCACGGATTCATAGGTCCTGCCAGGAGCTGGCTCCCGCAAGGGCTTTTTTTCACAGCCTCCTTCGGCCCCCCGCCTCCTGTGGCCTGGGGTCCTCCATGGGCTGCAGGTGGATCTCTGCTCCACCATTAACCTCCATGGCATGCAGGGGGACAGCCTTCCTCACATGGTCTTCACCACGGGGTGCGGGAGAACCTCTCCTCCAGCACCTGGAGCAACTCCTCGCCCTCATTCTTCACTGACCTGGGTGTTTGCAGAGTTGTTGCTCTCGCATCTCACTCCTCTCCCCGCTGCTGGTTTTTCACAGCAATTTTTTTCCCTTTCTTAGCTATGCCATCCCAGAGGCACTACCACCATTGCTGATGGGCTCAGCCTTGGCCAGTGGTGGGTATGTCCTGGAGCTGGCTGCCATGGGCTCTGTCAGACACAGGAGAAGCTTCTAGCAGCTTCTCACAGAAGCCACCCCTGTAGCCCCCCGCTACCAAAACCTGGCCATGCAAACCCAGCACAGCTGGAGGACTTTCTGCCCCAAATTTAAAAAGGGAAACAGAAACCTTCATCTGGAGGCTCCTGCAGTGTCCACTAATTGAACACTGAATGACCAAGGCTTTGAGAAGTCACGTTACTTGCCCAGCCGAGGTAAATAGTCGAGTCAGAGAAACAAGTGCCAATCCGTGCAGTTATTCTCGATGTTGGTTGAATTTTTGTATCTGCTGGTTTAAAAGCCCGACTGCTGACCACA